GGCATCACTGCTTCTCTGGGTAGGGTCCCGCTCTCTGCTCTTCTCCCTTGATGGTCCCAGGGACCTCTGCTACAAGACTGAGAAGTTAATCACTCCCCTCCTTGCTACAAAACATTTACCTTTACATTTCCAACCCTCACAATCAGTCCTGATAATAATTATTCACTATTGTATCACAAGAGACCTATCCGCATTTCCTTTCATCAGTCCCACCTAGACAGATTGGATTCTACTCAGTGGAGATTCTACCTTCCTCCGTACCCTCTGGATCTAGGTTCCCTCTTGAAAGCTTGTAAGCCAGACACTTCTTGCCTTTGTAGCCCCCCACTTTGGGTAGCCAATGTCCAAGTTGCCCATCCCTGTCCTCTCCATGTGTGGAGGGGGTGGGAATGATCCTTGCTGTAAGGATTTGTTCCCTCTTTTGAGTTACTGCATCCATAGCTGTAGGTCAAGTTCATCAAATTGTATCAGATTACTCATTTTTTTCCCCTCTTCTTTCTTCTTCTAGTTGAGCTCTAATCATCCAGTCATTGAACCCAGGTTGAGTGGGTATTATCTGCAAGTGTGGGTATTCTTGTGCATATGGCCTCTTTTCTTATCAGCCGGACGCTTCACTCTCCACTCTAGTCCTCTGTGGCTATGTCACTGACTCTGGGCCGAAGAGTCCCCAGGTGTTGCCACACTGCTGGCCAACCAGGTCTCCACTGGGGTTCATAGGAGTCTTTTGAATGTTTCATGGATTAGCTTGCAGCTTCATTGCAGTTTTGTTTGTTTTCAATAATTTTACTTATTTTGTTGTTGTTGAGAATACACCAGTTCAACAGTTTCTAAATGTCCTATTAAAGGGCATTGATTACATTCTCTAAGTTGTGCAACCATTTTTACCCTCCTCTGAGTCTGTCCTTTCACATTAACTTAATACATTAAGGTTCCTATCTTATCTTTTGGGATACTATTGTCAATTTGATCCCATATAAGTAGCTATTAAAGAGAAAAAATGCTTAAGGCAGCTATTTTATACTAGTTAAGCTATTTGGTTTTAAGAAGACCACTGGGGAGTTTTTGGTGTAAGATTTAGAGGTTATCTCAGGGCAATGGTTTCAGGGGCTCATCCGACTTCAAAGCTCCAGGAAGCCTGGAATATATAAAAATTTGAAATTCTGTTTTGCATTTCTCCCTTTTTGATCAGGATTCTTCTATGGGCTCTTTAATAAAAATTCTCAGAAGATATAGGTTTCTTAATTTGTCATATTACTCCATTGGATATTAATTTTATACAACTAAAACAAGCTCTGAAGAATCTTTTCTATCTTCAACATGGTTCTGCAGTTTCAACAGCTCCCAGTTAGCTGGTCACAGATTCATAAGTTCCTATGCATTAGAAAGTACCTTCAAAGAATTGAATTGATGCATCGATCGTTTTGCTTGTATTCTCAGCAGTGATGCGTTTAACCTAAGCTATCCAAGCACAATGTAGTTGATTTATTTTGGTCACTATTATGGTTGAAACCATTCTCATAGTCATTTTATTGAGAAGTCTCAGTGTATACAGTTATGAATATGAGTGATTTCTCTCACTAGCTGCCACCAACAGTGTCCCATCAATCCCTCTCTGCTGGTTGGCAGGGATTTTAGTGAAAGCACAGCTTGAGTTCACAAATTTCCACAGTTTCAGAATTTAGGACACACTGCTTGTTTTAGAATTTTATTTTCATCTGACTCAATATTACTTTGTGCCTTCCCCCAGTCTGGGCTCCAGGGCCTGGGAAGTGTGGGAGTTGGTGATAGATTCTGCTCTCCCATACTTCTTTCCTCTCTGTTTTCAACACTGAGAACTCTGTTCTTAGTTCTTATAAAAGGTGCATTTGGGGTCCTTTAGACAGTCTTAGCCGAAGTCCTGGTGTGGCACTTTGGGTTAATGTGCCAAACTGCAAAGTCATTTTGGCAGTTCAAGCTCAACAGCTGCTCCTCGGAAACCCTATACAGGGTTGCTATGGGTCGGAACTGATTCGACGGCACTTAACAACAACAAGACACTCTTATGGAATCCTGGTGTGGTTCCATATGATAAGCAGTGGATTGCTAACCAGAAGGCTGGTGGTTCAAACTTGCCAGCTGCTCCTCAGAAACCCTATACAGGGTCTCATTCAATTCGTAGGCACTTAACAACAACAACAAGAGTCTTAAAGAGCCTCTCAGAGATCTTAGTGGTGCAAATTATTAACTCACCTGGCTGCTAAGTGAAAGGTTGCCTGTTTGAATTCATCCAGAGGTGCCTTGGAAGAAACGCCTGGTGATCTATAGGTAGTTCCCTAATTATAGTGTATTCGAGTTATGCCAAACTGCACTTAAGACCATCTGTTGTTTTGCTTTTGTATTATCACTAGTAATATGTACCACATACAATGTTGAAGTACATAATTTGCTAATGCTATCATTTTCATGCTAAGCCCCAAAGACAAATATTAGATATATGAAGATACTAATAAAATGCAATAAAAATGAAAACTAAAAAAAAAAGAGATGTATTCAATTCATGACAGAACCGAGTCCAACAGAGTCATCAAATGGAACTCGGTCATAAGTTGGAGACTACCTGTACTTCCAAAACTCAGCCACTGAAAATTCTATGGAGCACAGCACTACTCTGATATACATGGGGTTGCCATAGGTCAGAATTGGCTCAACAGTAACTGGGAAAAAGGTAACTGGCGTGGGGACTCTGACTGTGAGAGATCAGCCCCTGCTTGACGTCTTTCCCTCTCCTTGGCTTTCCCTCTCCTTCTGGGTCCACTTGGTCACAAGTAGTCCCTTTACTGAGGGGAGGGACAACTGCAGCCAGCTCAAGGTCAGCACCTTCTGCAGGATCTGCCTGACCCTCAGAAACTCACTTACTTGCCATGCCTAAGAGTGTGGACATGACTGTCTGGCTCTCATCCGGGGCTCAACATTGCACAGTACCATTGGGCACTCCACTGGACAAGCGAATCAGCAGTAGTGCATTCCTAACTGTCAAAGGGAGTATGTGTATGTGGCCCTCCCCTGACCCTTCATAGGAGAAGGAGGAAAATCTCTACCATTACTTTTTATTTATTTTTTTTATCATTACTTTTAAAAAATATCCTCTTTCTCGGTCTATATACTTCTGAAGGCAGTGTTTCCATCTCTCTAACCCTTCCCTGGAATCCTGATGTGGCACTGTGGGCTAATGCACCAGACTGCAAAGTTGTTTGAACTGCAAGGTTGGTGGTTCAAGCTCACTAGCTGCTCCTTGGAAACCCTACACAGGGTTGCTATGGGTTGGAATTGACTGGATGACACTTAACAACAACAACCCTTCCCCAGAGCTTTTTTTGTTTTGTTTTGATGTGTTTTTATTGAGTGATAGTTTACATGGAGGAATATCAGCTCTACACTCATTGTTTCACCGCAGTCTACCATTCCTTTTATCTCCAGTGGCGTGTAGGTGACTGTGTGTATGTGTGTGTGTGTGGTGGGGAACAGGGAAGAGGAGGGGCTGGCGCTTCCTGAAGCGGTTTCTGCTGGAAGGTTGTCTCTCAGCAAGCCCTGCAGGGAGGGGAACCCCACCAGCTGACAAGTCTCTGCACTTGGAATGTGGCTTCTTTAAAGTGCCTTTCATTCTTAGCTGTGAGCCTTGGCTGCCAGTTCTGGCAATAGACCCCCACACTATCTTAATACATTGAATTCACATATTACACCCAGTATTCTCTGACAATATAATGAGGGAATCAGCTTGCTTGCATGGCACAATCATGTTGTGTTGTGACTGCAGTTTCACACCTCTGAATGACTTGATCTCACATGACTTATCTGATTATTTTATAAATCTACTGCTTTAGCCAAGAGGAATTTCAATCAGAAGTACTGAGAAGGATAAGCAGAGACACTCAGTGAAACACAAAGCAGTAAGAATAATGGAAGCACGCTGGTGGTGAGGACAGGCGCGTGAACTCTTTATTAGTACCAAGGAGGTTTCCAATCCCAAGACTGCCAACAGAAACACACAGCAATACTATAACAACACACGAAATACGCTAGCCGACTTAACAACTGGTCTCCATTTTGACAGGATGCTGAAGTATGACTGCAATCCATGAGAATTTACTGGCAAACTTTTAGCGATCTCCAACCTCAGCTCCACAACACATTCTTCTGCTCTCTGACCGTCATTCAACGCCCCTTCAACTTCATTCCGTTGTTTGTTTTTTTCTTAAAACTGTTTCCTAATGATTTTGCTACCAATGGTATTTACTTGACACATGACTTGTAGATAAAGAAAAACTATTAAAATTTTTTAGTTGGTGCCATTTCATATATGTATGAATAAAAGATTCAACACTTTCCCCCCATACTGGTATGAAAGCAGAGAGTAGAAAGCACAAAACCTTCTTAGATTTAATCCAAACCCTCCACACAGGCAGTACAAAGTGTGAGTTCTCCTGGTGTTCCCGCCCGTCTACAATTACTTGGACTTCTTGATTCCTTTGGGGGCCTCTGACAATGACTTCCTGGCCTCCCCTTCCGGGATGAACACACTGATGGTGAGATCGCTGATCTCGCTGCCGTACTTGTTCTTCACCACCAGGCCATATTTGCCTGAGTCAGAGGAGCTCACTGCTGTGATCGTGAAGTATACGGTCTTTCCTGCCTCCATCCGGAGGCTGCAGTGGTCATCTGAGACCAGAGCCTTCTCATTCTTCATCCAGGACACCTCTGGAGCAGGATCGCCCCACACGTTACAAGTGAGATTAAGGTCCTGCAAAATAGATTTCATAGGCGGGAATGAAATACATCAGATATAATGATGACCCAACTTCAAGCATCTTTCAGATAATTGAAGATGGTTACTCTTGAATATTGCGCATCTATTTGGGTTATGACTAGTGGTGATGAGTTGGGCTACTAACCTCAAGGTCAGCAGTTCAAAAGTACCAGCTAACCCCGTGGGGAGAAAGATGAGGCTTTCTGCGCCCATAAAGATTTACAGCCTCAGAAACCCTGTACAGGGTCTCTATGAGTCAGAACCGACTCCACGGCACACAGCCACCAACTACCACATTTAGGAATTAATGACTAATTCATTAAGCCATAGATGAGAAGATTGGGTTGGGTTGGGGGTAATGAGTGAAACAATTAGAAGAGAGAGAGAATGTTGACACAATGTGAAGAATGTAACAGTATCACTGATCATAATACCTCAAAACTATTGAACAGGAGTGGGTTTTGCAGTGTGTATTCTCACCACCACCAACAAAACAAGAACATTTTTTGGTGGTTTGACATGATCAGGTGGATGATACATACAAACACCCCAGACTAAGGTCTAGTTTAATACATCTGTATGAGTTAAATTTTGAAATAAAATCTGAGCAAGTTTCTTTGGGGCTGGGCTGAGGCTTCCTGGCTGACTTTCAAAAATATAGAGGAACCTGAAACCAATGTTAAGTGTAGTACTATTCACAATAGCCCCAAACAACATCGGAAATGGCCATCAACAGAGAAATGGATAAACAGATAATGGAATCCTGCTCAGACCTAAAGTGGAAATGAAGTCCTGATTGCATTACAACATGGACCAACACTGAAAACATAATGCAGAGTGAGGTAGATCAGACAAAAAAGGGCAAATATTATATGACCTTATTTCTAGGAAATGTATAAAGACCAAAGTTTATGAGTAGTTGCCAGGGGTAGCAGCAACCATAAGGTTGGCAGTTTAAGCCTACCAGCCGCAGGAGAAAGATGAGGCTTTCTACACCTGTAAAGGTTTGGAAACCCTTGGAAACCCTAAATAGGGTCATGCCTAAGTCTGAACCGACTTGTTGGCACCTAACAACAACACTAGCAGCAGGGATGGGGGAGAGTCAATGTTTAGGGGGGCACTGAATGTCTATTAATGATAGTAGAATAATTTAGAAACCAAAACGAAAAACCAACCAACCCAAATCCACTGCCATAGAGCCAATTCGGACTTACAGTGACCCTGTAGGATAGAGTAGAACTTTTCCACAGGATTTTCAGGACAGAAACAGATTGCCTCATCTTTCTCCTGCTGAGTGGGTTTGAACTGCTGACCTTTTTGTTAGCAGGCTAATGTTGAACCGATTGTACCTCCAGGGCTCCTCAATTTGGAAACCAGATGCTTTCAAATCAGCTCTGATTCAAGGTGACTGCATGTGTGTCAGAGTAGAAACTGTGCACCACAGGTTAGTCGCTGTGAGTCAAAACCAACCGGACAGCACTTAACATCAACAAGTTTTTCAGAAGAAGGTCATCGGGTATCTCTGGATAGACTGGAACCACCAACCTTTCAGTTAGCAGCCCAGTTTCTTAACTGTTTGCACCACCCAGGGACTCCTAATTTGGAGAAGGGGAGTGGGATGATTGCATAACATAATGAATGTAATCAATGCCACTGAAGTATATATACAAAAATTGTTGAATTGGTAAATGTTTTATTACTTACTATTTTTACCACAAAAGCCAACAAACAAATCTTACTGTAGAGCTGATTTCCATTCTCCATCTCCACTTTCTCTTTCATAAGTACAAGATGCCTTCTGCTCTACCTCAGTAGAGAATTTCATCTCCACAATCAACATTTGCTTTCATTTGCATCCTATTTGAATTTCTGAGCCCAGCAGCAGAAACCTAACAGCTGCTTCAGATAATTAACTCAATTTCAAATTCCATTGTCCTCATTTTACTTCTCAACCTTAAACACCACCCAATCTGTTCTAGTTGCAAAAGTGCTCTTCCCAAACAAAATACTCCTATCTCATTCTAAAGACCACTGTTGAGGCTGACATTTTTAGCTTACTTTACATTTTTTTCTGAAATGTTTATTGAGGTCACTGTAGATTCACATGCGGTGATAAGAATGAATACTGTGATGCCCTGTATATCCTTGACCCAGCTGCTTTCAATGATGACGTTTTGTGTAATTATAGCACACAATCACAACCAGGATATTGACTTGGGTATGATTCACTGATCAGATTTGCATTTCCCTGGTTTCCTTGTACTCATTTGTGATGCATGTGTGTGTGTGTGTGTGTGCACACGAATGCTCACATGCAAGTGAGTCACCACCTCTGTGAAGACACAGAACGTTTCCATGACCACAAAGATCCCTCCTATTGCTCCTTTAACCATACCACATCTCACCTCTCATCTATTCCTAATCACCAATCAGCTCTCCATTTCTAAAATGTCACATGGATGGAATTGGCTCTGTCATTTTTCCACTCAGCATAATTCTTTGGGGATTTATCTGAATTGTTGTGGGTATCAATAGTCTGTTTCTTTTTGTTGCTGAGTAGTATTCTGTGGTATGTATTTAATCATATAAGCAACATCAGGGCTATCCAGTTTGGGGCTGTTATGAATTAAGCTATTATGCAATTCTTATGCAGGTGTTTTGTGTGTACACATGTTAAGTTAAGTTGTTATTTCTCTGGGATAAATGCCCAGGGGTGTGACTGCATGTATTTCAGAGAAGTTTATCAGTATGGCTTTCCTATTTTATTTTACCTTCCCATCAGCATGTACAAGTGATTCAGTTTCTCCACATCGTCACCAACATTTATTGTTGTTATCAGTTTTTATTACTGCCCTTTGATAGGTGTGCTGTGATATTTCATTGTGATTTTTTATTAGCATTTCCCTAATGGTTAATAGTTTTGGATTTACTTTACATTTTAAATTCCATTCATTTTTTTTTTTTTTCTTTACTAAAATCCAGAAACTATAAGGAAAAAAGAACTAGTTCTCCCAGTATACTGGGTAAAAGTTACCCTTCTAATAACCTTCTAGAAAGTTGTCTGTGGTCACTTGCTACCTCCTCTGTATCAGTGCCATTTAAAATCAGGTAGATTGAGAAAAGTGTTTTTCTTCCACCATTGATTTTTTTAGGAAATTACTCTACACTACATTTCAGGAAGAAAAATATGAGTCAAACCATTGTCATTTATCTCATTACCTAAGAAGACCAGATATATGATTTCAAAAGCTATGATTGCTTGAAGGTTTAGACTTTTTACCAAAATCAAACAAAAAATTCTGAAATGCCTGTGTTGTTGCTAAGTGTGATAGTTAGTTCTGACTCATAGCGATCCTGTATAGGGTTTCTGAGGAGTGGCTGGTGGGTTTGAACTACCGACCTTGTGGTTAGCAGTCCAATTTTTATCCTACAGTTCCCCAGGACTCCCCAAGCGCATTGTTGTGTTGTTGTTGTTGTTGTTAAGTGTTGTCTAGTCAGTTCTGACTCATAGCAACCTTGTATAAGGTTTCTGAGAAACAGCTGGTTGGTCCAGTGCTGATCCTACAGTGCCACACACCTAAGGTGTCATGAAAAAACGATTGTTTCTATTTTAGGTTTGAATAAGCATTTTCATGTATATTCTCTCTCTGCATTTTCATTTGAATAAGCATTTTCATGTATATTCTCTCTCTGCATTTTCACTATGATCCAGTAACCTCACTAGGTCAGAAAAAATGGAAAATAGAGTTTAAAAATAATAACAACTCAGACAAATGAAGCAATTACATAAACCATGTTTTACTATCCTAACTCTAATTATCTATTATGTCTTAATGTTCTTTTGAGTTGCCAAAAAGGTTTGTTCCACAGCAAATACCTATGCCCCAACGGCTGGTATATTAAATTTGTTTTAATGAAACAAATGTGAGGTCTGAAGAAAAGTAACTCTAGGTTAGAAATTCTATTCATTGGTTTTCAGAGGGATTATGAGAGGGCCAGGAAATCCCAGTTTAAAACGAAATGGAAAGAAATCAGTTTTCATCAGAAGAAAACCTGCAGGAAATACACTGAGCAGCAGGATTTCTTCAAGGCTGAGAGAGTGAAGAGCCCAGTCCATTTTCTACTATGTTAGAGATTGTTTCTCTCTTGTATTATATTTGTCACAGAATTATGATTGGACATTTTCAGCTTCTCATAATTTTAAAGGGTAAGACTGGAAAGCCACTTAGTGGTCTTGAGGTAATAGTTGTTAAGTGCCGCTGAGTTGATTCCGACCAAGAGCGACCCTGTATAGGATTTCCAAGGAGCAGCTGGTGAGCTTGAACCACTGACCTTGTGGTTCAAATGACTTTGCAGTCTGGCACATTAGCCCACAGCACCACACCAGGACTCCTCAATTTGCCAAAAGTGGTACCATACTGATGCTTTGCCTGCAAAACATCAAGATGACTAGAAAATGGGATTTTTAACTTTGAATAAGCGTAGTGGTTACGAATCGGGCTGCGAACCTTAAGGTCAGTGGTTCGAAACTACCAGCCGCTCCGCGGGAGAAAGATGAGGCTTTCTACTCCCGTAAGGATTTACACCCTCGGAAACCCTGTACAGGGTCGCTATGGGTCGGCTCCGACTCGAAGGCACTTAACAACAACAACAACAAGTCCTGGTGTGGAGAAAAGGGGGACAGGTGGGTGTGCACTTACCTTCCCCTCCTGGATAGTGACCACATCCGGGAGGCCGCCCAGCACTCGGGCACGATCTGCAAGCACAGGCCTTTCTGATTAGTCTCTGAAATGATGGGGACTGTGATAACATTCCCAAGACCACCCCAGTGAACTAATTTCCCAATTTTATAGCACTCTCTTTATAGCTGTTTTCATATGCAAAATAAGAAAAGAATCCAGTGATTGAGGATTCTAATCCTCTTCCACATTGCCATGCATTCATGCAGCTGCCTGTATCCATACCCAAAATACCAGTTTGAGATTGCTTTATTGAATTGACTTGCTCTATAATTTCCCTGGCTATTTTTAGCTTAGTGGAACTAAGCTGAAGGAGACAGTGTAGATCTCTGTGGATGGTTTCCAAGCCCAGCTTGGCCTCTTTGATGGGTTTCCCTATGATTACAAAAGGTTACATAGTGGAATGACTATGTGCCACGGGGATCGGGAGGCTGGTGCAGATGTGGATTTTCTTTGAGGCCTTCCTAGAAAGCTCCCCTCTTCCTCTTCTTCTGCTGTGATAGTGGGCTGACTGCACTCTGTCAGATGCTGGCCTTGCTATCCAGGGCTGCCATCTATGGTTGTGTAATCCTGAGGTCCCACACAAAGGTAGAGGAGTGGGTACTGACATCCAGGGCTTCCTCCCCTGGCCAAGCCATGTGCTCTGGGTGCGATCGCCTCAGCCCCCAAGAGGACACCTTTCTGTAATCCCCACAAAGATGCTCCTCTAGCCTTCAGTCAGTGATAGGTGGTCTCCTTTTGAGACCTACTTCAATTAATTCATTACTCTTGGTCCTTGGGCCTACAATTCCATTCTCCAGCAGCCTTATTCCACTGTGGCACATATAAACCTCACTCATATTTAATGTCCTGTGTGACCTGCTGTGTGGCATTCACTGCACAGACCTCAGTCTCCCTCGCTGTAGAATGAGGCATTATACTAGATCTGTGGACATTACATTTCCAAATTCTGCATGATAGCATCCATGAGACATTTCTAAGAGATGCCTGAGAGGAGGCTGAGGAGGGGGCACTGTGTTAGGAAACTAGAAGGCCATCCCAACTTCAATGACAAGTAACTCTGCTTTTACCTGCTTTGTATACTAAGTCTTTGAGGAAGGTTTTGTTTGAATTAATAGTGCCATTGGCTTATAAAAGCTTGAACACACTGAACGAGAAGAGCTTTAAGGTCTCTTCAGGATTTGAACTGTAGTGATGGAGAGAGCTAGGAAGGGGGTCATGAGCTGAAGGGAGCCTCTATGCCCCTAGAAAATTCAAAACTCAACGAGGTCGCCTAATGCTTGTGGATTTTGTTTTGGTCAGTGGTGACAGGAGCAGGAAGGACATACTGAGATCAGACAACAGATAATGACTCCCTCTACCTCTGACATGCTGCCGATCACAGTTTTACCCCTGTACTACCCAATTCACCAATAGCAGAGGCATCACAAACCCATGGCAGGAGCCAAGAGCTGGACGGAGGAGAAAGGAGGGGAAGAAAGTCCCATTCCTAAGTGAGCTGGAGTCATCAGGAAGTGAACGGATGGCTTCACTCTCACACCTCTGAGTTCCCTTCAATTTCAACTCAGGGTTGACGCTACAGTTTTAACCCTCTAGAATTTTCAAATTCCGACAATAAGAAAGAAACTGATTTATGTTAATGAATTAGCCAGTGAAAACAGGGGTCAGGCAATATTGTTTGAGTTCTTCAAAGCACCTTGCTTGTGAAGCAAACCACTGATAGATGAAGGGCTGAGGACATGTCCGAGGAAGTGCGTTTCTGGGTACTCAGACCTGACAGCTTACTGGCCATTCACTCAGACTGTGTCTAGTTAAATGAGAGTAACATGAGGCTTTACTGAGCATCTTTTGTCTTCCAGGGACTCTCAGGGACATGTGGGATGTTTTTTGTGAGGCAAATTACAGAGATGACTCTGATGTTAAATTTACAATGTTTCTGGCTTTTTCTTTTCTTTAACTGTATATACATTTTTCTGAAACATTTTGCCTGTTGTGTGATCGCCTTAGGCCAAGAGATTTCTCAGGTATTCTGGTTGGTAGCTCAAGTCAAGAGCTGCATGGCATTCTTATAATGTAACTTGAGACTTTCTTTTCATAGGCATTCTTACTAAAGCGATTAAGTGAAAACATATGTAGAGTACCTATTATTAAAAAAAAGAAACACCAGAAGAGAAAAAAAATACGTTCGTTCACTTTCCTCCATTTGTTGTCTAAATACAAAAAGAAATTTGAAACTGTTTCAGATAAACAGGACAGTAATTTACTTACTTTTTTCTGCAATGGCAGCTTGTCTGTGGTGGAGAGAAACAAACATACAAAGAAGAATTTAGTGTTAATTCAAAGTTGTTAACCTTGACTGTGTTTTATTGCCTCAGAAACATCTTGCTGCTCAGTGTAACAGTGGAAAGTGCTATTACCAATGTACTTGCTAGAATAAAAGGCTCTTTCTAAGTCTCTCAGACTGGGGAGCAGCATATGATGTACCAGAGACTTAAGTGCAGTTAAGTGGCATTTGCTAAGAAAAGGACTTACTTCAACCTCTGGAATTCAGCAAAGGCTTCATCATATGCTTTAAAAGAAAAAAAAGACAAGTTAGAGTTTTCTCACAGAGGCTTAACAACACTGAGGGACTGATTATAATTCACTTCAGTTCATTGTGATTGGTCCAGATAAGACTAAGCCTACTTAACACAGTCAACAAGAGGAAAAATGCTTTCTGGATAGAAAATGCAAAATGGTAGATATGCGAAGCTTTTAATTGATCAAAAGACCTTCAAATCTTCATACAGAAAGGCAGAGAGTAGCTCCCCCAAAGATAAAATGGAAATAAAAATCAGTTTCAAATAACAGTTGACTGTCTGTCTAAGAAGCATCCTGAATGGCAACCAAGCTTTTCTCTGATGAAGTGAGCCCAGGCAGACGGGTAAATGTCTCCAGCTATGCAGTCTGGCCTGTGTATTTGGGTAAAAGGGCACAAGCAGTTACTGTAATCATAGGGCATGCCAGAGCCAGCTGGAAGCAATGCTTCTTATATCCTGATGGAGAGGAGATCAAAGCCAAGTGAGTTCTGGAAATAAGACCTTTTCTTAGCTTGCAGTGTACGTCACTTTGAGAACCTCAGGAAAAATGGTAGCTTCATTTTAAAGCTCTCATCTTATTGTTGGAGCTCTGGTAGCGTAGTGGTTATCAATCGGGCTGTGAACCTCAGGGTCAGCAATTTGAAACTACCAGCTGTTCCATGGGAGAAAGATGAAGCTTTTTGCTCCTGTAATGATTTATAGCTTTGGAAACCCCGTACAGGGTTGCTATGAGTCAGAACTGACCCCACGGCACATAACAACAACAACAACAACAACAATGGTCTAGGATTCATTGTAAATCTCGAAAACACATAGATAATATTAGTCTATCTCCCCCATTTGATGAGATGAGAAATATAACCATAAAAGTCATAATGAAAGTCTCTGGTTCTTATTTTTCCTTGTCTGTAAAGGAGGGAAGGTTAGTGTGAACCAACTCTCTTTTTTCCCCAACCCACCACACTAAGAATGGGAAGGGTACACACTGAACCCAGCTGTGTCTGATGCCCACAGAACCACTGCAAAGGCAACCCACACACAGGCTTTTACTTAAGGATGATTTGAGAGTTAAATGAGATTTGATGGCTTCCCAATCCCAAACCAAACCCATCACCACTGAATAGATTACGATCTATAATGACTCTATAGGAGAGTACAACTACACCTGAGAGTTTCCCAGACTGTTCATCTTTATATGAGCTGACAGACTCATCTTTCTTCTGTAGAGCAGCTGATGGGCTTGAACTGCCGATCTTGAGGTTATCAGCCCAATACTCAGCCCACTAGTTCACCAGGGCTCCTTTTTGATGAGCCAAAGGATAAAAAAATATAATTTACCTACCCACTTACTGTTTCTCTTTTTCTCTGTTGAGTTTCAAATGGTCAGATGAACTTTAAAAGAAACCTGTGTTGTTGTACATATGTAGAGTGGACATCCCTACTTAATTAGAGAGACTATTCAGTGAACTTTCCGGTCATAATGGGCACTTAGCACAGACCAACTGAATTGAGGATTGAAAGGTTGCTGCTTAAATTAGGAAGATATTCATTGAGGATTAAAAATATACTAAGAGTTATTGCATAGTTAGGTTGTATTTTGATGTATGAAGATGTGGAGGGAAAAGTTCATCTCTCCCTTTTTGTAGACTTATATCTCATCAGAAAGAAAAAGATGAAGAATACGTTGCATGGAGTGGGAGGAGTGGCAGGATCTTTAACACTCAGAACCAGGTATTGTACCTTTTTGTCTTTGTTCTCCTCTGGAAAGTTCTTGTATGTACCTCTCATTGCTCTCTCTAGAGGCCCACACTCCCTCAGCAGATAACCAACAAATCCAAGGCCATTCGGCTCCAATCTCTCCAACTTTCTTCAGTTTTTCTTAGTACTGTGTGTTTTTCACATGCACTGCCTCTAGTTTCTGAAGAGGTTTCCCTTCTCCTTTCTAAAGTCAATATTTATCCTTCTTCTCTTGATCTCAAACCCTCTACTCATCAGAATGTTGATCACCTAATTATTTCCCTTCACTCACATCTGCAGTCCTTCCAATTCAATAAAGTCTGGGACTCTAAGAATATGTTCAAATTTCATTCTCCATGAAAAGAAAATACTCTTTTAAAAACACAGTTTTTCTGCTGATTTTAAGTCCCCTCTGCCCGTGTCTGTAATCACCTTTATGCCACAGGAGCATTTACCTACATTCCCCACTTCACTCTCCACTGAATTCCGGCTTCTAGCACCCTGTTTTAAACCGATTTAAAATGGATTCATCCAAACCACCAGTGATCTTTCAATCAGCAAATCAAATGTAATGACCTCTTTTTACCCTACATATTTTCCAGACTTAACTTTATTGTAAATTCAAATCTGCAGAATATTACTTACCTTGTCCAGAAAGATCCACTGTCTTCTGGTGTCCAGTTTTTCCATCAAAGAGCTCCATTACGTATTTCCCTTTGTCATTAGGAGTGGGCTCATTGATTTGTAACCAGATCTGCTCCCCGGTGACCCCAGTCTTAACTCTATCTGTGTACTTAATAGTATTTCCACTGTTAAAATCCAAGAAAACAGCATTAGTGTTTGCTTTTATCTGAAGCTTATATTTACTTTGTCTCTTCTTGAAGGTCTTATTGTACAGTTTTACAAGTTTTCAAATTACATGGGCTCCACATATGTTATTCCTTTGCTTCAGAGAAATGATTGGCCCTGAAGCACAGAAATTGGATTCTAAGGCTCTAGGGTCAAGGAAGGGGCACGTGTAGTCTGATATTAACTATAACATTTAATTCCCAATAGCAGTCTGGAGCCTGGAACAGAGAGCAAACCAACACTTCTCGGTGGTATTAATTATTTTTGTTTTGCTTGGGTTTATTTATAGCACTGAGGGACTTTTTAAAACCAGAAGACCAAACTATGTATTATTTTACACAGATGATTTATGGTTATATACCAGCTTTTATAAGATGGTTGAAAACATCCTTTAGGAGGTCCACACTTAACAACAACAACAGTGCCTGACATCTATTTACATGATCAGTTACAGGCTATTTAAAACATATGTAAATTTGCATGTGGTAGTAGAGGCAAGAGTAAATGAAAAGCAGAACTGTTGCCAGAATGAATGAGGTATGTCCTCTGTCCACAAACCAGTTTCTGAGTATTTTATGGTAGGCCTTGAGTAGGAGAAAAAATAGCAAGTATAACCCTTCATTGTATGCACAACAGTCCAGAAGTGTTGTTGTCTTAGCTGAAATAAGCAAAAAGTAAGTGGATTTACTCTGAGTGATGTTAAAAACAAACAAACAAACAAAAAACTTTAGGAGAAGTTTGTAAAAAATGAGGAGAAATTAAAAAAAAAAAAAAGCACTAAACACTATTATACTACACTATCATAGTCACTTGTTTGTCAGTTTGTTGCTGTGATGCTGGAAACCATGCCACTGGTATTTCAAATACCAGCAGAGCCACATGGTTGACAAATTTCAGTGGAGCTCCCAGACTAAGACAGGAAGGAGAGCAGACCATTTCTGAAATGGTTAGCCACTGCAAACCTTATGAATAGTAGTAGAATATTGTCAAATATAATATCCAAAAGATGAGCTCCTCAAGTTGGAAGATACTCAAAATATGACTGGGGTAGAGCTGTCTCCTCAATGTCGATGTGAATGGAAATATGCTGTTGGGGAGGCAGGGCTTGATGGC